GCTTGATTCACCATGAAAGAGTCTACCAGTTGTTCTCTAAAATGTCTCTTTTTAAAGACTAATCTCCCTTTTTTCCCTCCTGCAGCTGCAAATGTTTCATTGCTCCACGTATCATCTCCGTTCCAGAGACTAAGATTAGAAGCCGAAAAAAATGCACTCACGATGAAATGCTCTCTGAACTCATGCAGTCCTCCCACACTGAAAGAGCCCAGCACAATGCGTGGAGGGAGACAATGTCAGAGTCCAGGAAAGCACAAAATGAACGCGAGGACAGGAGGGACGAGCGAGAGGAGAGGAGGCAGGATGCAATGCTGAGGCTCCTGGAGGATCAAACTGATATGCTCCGGCATATGGCTGAGGTGCAGGAAAGGCAACAGGAGCACAGACCGCCGCTGCAGCCACTGTGTAACTGCCCGCCCTCCTCCCCAAGTACCATAGCCTCCTCACCCAGAAGCCCAAGAACGCGGGGGGAGCCCTCCGGGCACCCAACCACTCCACCTCAGAGGACTGCCCAAGCAACCGAAAGCTGGCATTCAACAAGGTTTGAAGTGCAGTGTGTCCTTGTCCTTCCATCCTCCCCTCCTCCACCACCGCACCCAGTGCTTCCCTCTTCCCCCACCCCCCCCGGGCTACCTTGGCAGTTATCCCCCCAGTTGTGTGACGAATTAATAAAGAATGCATGAATTTGAAACAACAATGACTTTATTGGCTCTGCAAGCGGTGATCAAAGGGGGAGGGGAGGGCGGTTGGCGTATAGGAAAGTAGAGTGAACCAAGGGGGCAGGTTTTCATCAAGGAGAAACAAACAGAACTGTCATACTGGAGCCTGGCCAGTCATGAAACTGGTTTTCAAAGCTTCTCTGATGCGCAGCACACCCTGCTGTGCTCTTCTAACCGCCCTGGTGTCTGGCTGCGTGTAATCAGGGGCCAGGCGATTTGCCTCAACCTCCCACCCCGACCATAAACGTCTCCCCCTTACTTTCACAGACATTGTGGAGCGCACAGCAAGCAGTAATAATGATGGGAATATTGGTTTCGCTGAGGTCTGAGTCAGTAAACTGCCCTAGATGCTTTTAAACATCCAAATGCACATTCTACCACCATTCTGCACTTGCTTAGCCTATAGTTGAACAGCTCCTGACTACTGTCCAGGGTGCCTGTGTATGGCTTCATGAGCCATGGCAATAAGGGGTAGGCTGGATCCCCAAGGATAACTATAGGCATTTCAACATCCCCAACGGTTATTTTCTGGTCTGGGAAGTAAGTTCCTTCAAACTGTTCAAACAGACCAGAGTTCCTGAAGATGTGAGCATCATGCACCTTTCCCAGCCATCCCACGTTGATGTTGGTGAAACGTCCCTTGTGATCCACCAGTGCTTGCAGCACCATTGAAAAGTCCCCCTTTTGGTTTGTGTACTGGCTGCCAAGGTGGTCCGCTCCCAAGACAAGGATATGCGTTCCATCTATTGCCCCACCAGTTAGGGAATCCCATCGCAGCAAAGCCATCCACTATGACCTGCACATTTCCCAGAGTCACTACCCTTGATAGCAGCAGCTCAGTGATCCCATTGGCTATTTGGATTACAGCAGCCCCCACAGTAGATTTGCCCACTCCAAATTGATTCCCAACTGACCAGTAGCTGTCTGGCGTTGCAAGCTTCCACAGGGCTATCGCCACTCGCTTGTGAACTGTGAGGGCTGCTCTCATCTTGGTATTCTGGTGCTTCAGGGCAGGGGAAAGCAAGTCACAAAGTTCCATAAAAGTGCCCTTACGCGTGTGAAAGTTTTGCAGCCATTGTGAATTGTCCCAGATGTGCAACACTATGCGGTCCCACCAGTCTGTGCTTGTTTCCCAGGCCCAGAATCGGTGTTCCATGGCATGAGCCTGCCCCATTGCCACCAGGATGGCCAAATTTTTGGGTCCCGTACTATGAGAAGTCTGTGTCCATGTCCTCATCACTCTTCTCATCGTGCTGCCATCGCCTACTCGCCTGCTTTTGCAGGTTCTGGTTCTGGTTCTGCATATACTGCTGGATAATGTGCGTGGTGTTTAGAGCGGTCACAACTGCCGCAGTGATCTGAGCAAGCTCCATGCTTGCCATGATATGGCATGAGCAGGAGAGCAGAGTGGCAGCGGAAGCGGCGGGTGGATGACGATGCTGATAGCAATATGGCACCCGCACGGAAAAAGGCGCGAAATGATTGTCAGCCATTGCTTTCACAGAGGGAGGAGCAGGGGGTAGGCTGGCAGCAGATGGTGCAGTACGACGGCTAGCCATCATTATCTTCTGGGTGCTAGCCAGCAGACAGTGCAGCACTAGTGCTAGCTGTCATCGTCTCCTGGGTGCTTGCGGTGCTGCTGGCTGGGAGAGCAGCCTGAGGCAGAATGGCCTCCTCAAGGATTGAACTCACAACCCGGGGTTTAGCAGGCCAATGGTCAAACCGCTGAGCTATCCCTCTGCAAATAGTCCAGGCAGCACTGAATCTCCATTAGACAAAACTTAAAGAAGAGAATGACCTGAGTCACTCCCATTTATGTCCAGGCGCTCCTGACAAACCTCACCAAGATCTGCCAGGAGCACCCCAATCAACCTCACGGAGGCCGGCCAAGAGCAGCCAGGAGACGATGAGGACAGATACCAGTCATACTGCACCGTCTGCTGCCACAAGACAATGAGCTGCTGCTGTGTAGCAATGCAGTCCCACATCTGCCAGCACCCAGGAGACGTACGGTGACGGTGAGCTGAGTGGGCTCCATGCTTGCCGCGGTACGGCGTCTGCACGGGTAACCCAGGAAAAAAGGCGTGAAATGATTGTTTGCCGTTGCTTTCATGGGGGGTGGGAGGGCTGATGACATGTACCGAGAACCACCCGCGACAATGTTTTTTGCCCCATAAGGCATTGGGATCTCAACCCAGAATTCCAATGGGCGGCAGAGACTACGGGAACTGTGGGATAGCTACCCACAGTACAATGCTCCAGAAGTTGACACTAGCCTCGGTACTGTGGACGCACTCCACCGACTTAATCGTCTTATGGGGGGGGGAACGGACACAATCGACTGTATAAAAATCGCTTTCTAAAAAATCGACTTCTATAAATTCGACCTAATTTTGTACTGTAGACTAGATGACCTCCTGAGGTCCCTTCCAACCCTGATATTCTCTGATTCTATGATTAGATTCCAGGGCCTTGTACCATCCAGAAACATATGCAGCAGAGTCCTTTTGTAAAAAAGGACATCTCATGTAGCTAATCCCCCCCCCCCCCCTTCCCTCAAGCAGTCTCACATGTAAAACCAAACTGATAGCTTTCTTTAGCAGTGGAACAAGCCTTGTGGATGGGGGGAAGTGGTTGGCATGGTCTGTCTTGCCTTTAGTAAGGCTTTTGATACTGTGTCCCATGACCTTCTCATAAACAAACTACGGAAATGCAATGTAGATGGAGCTAAAATAAGATGGGTGCAAAACTAGTCTGAAAACAGTTCCAACAGCAGATATCAGTGATTCACAGGCTGAAAGGGCTGAGTCAAGCTGAAAGGGCATAACGAGTGGGGTTCTCCAGGGATCAGTTCTGGCTAAGTTGCTATTCAAAATCTTCATCCGTGATTCAGATAATAGCATAGAGCAGTGGTCCCCAACCTTTCTGTGGGAACAGCACATTCCTATTCCCAACAGACTGTGGCGAGCGCCAAACACCCCGCCGCCAAAATGGCGCCGAGAAGTGGCAGCGGAAAGAAGCCTCGCTGCCGAAATACCGCCGAGAAACAGCGACACCTGGGGGTGGCATATCGGCGGGTGGTTCTCAGCTGGCCGCACTCGGCGACAGCATTTCGGCGGCGCGGTGTCCCCCGGCGCAGGGAGTACCGTCGGGGACCCCCGGCGCAGGGAGTACCGTCGGGGACCCCCGGCGCAGGGAGTACCGTCGGGGACCCCCGGCGCAGGGAGTACCGTCGGGGACCCCCGGCGCAGGGAGTACCGTCGGGGACCCCCGGCGCAGGGAGTACCGTCGGGGACCCCCGGCGCAGGGAGTACCGTCGGGGACCCCCGGCACAGGGAGTACCGTTGCCGCCACAGGGTGCCCGAGGCAAGCAACCGCTGGGTTTGTTGCCCGGTGTGCGCTGCGCCAATGATCACAACGGGGTGGAGAAGCAGGGAGATTTATTTGGAGCTCCAAATAGGGCGTAGGGAGACTGGGCTGGCGCAAACCCTGCCGCCCCGCATGCAGGTTCCAGTATACATTTGATACCTTTGCCTACTTCACTACACACGCTTACGCAACCAATTCCCCGCTGCCCCGTACGATACCGCAGCCAATCAGCTAAAGCAGCCAGTTGTGTTTCTCCTCACTAGCACTGCCCGGGGCCTTATTTGGTCCTATTGCTTACTGGCTTTTGCTAAACATTTCCGCCTTACCTATCTGCTTCCCAGGCCGGAGCTGGCCGTGGCTGGCGAGCCTCGGGCGCAAAGCCGTCTGCCCGCGTGCTGGCTCCCTCAGCGTCGCGCCGGGTCACGGAGGGTTCAAGGAGCAAAGGGGCCGCGGTCTATTGGGGCCCAGAGCAAGAGGGCTTCCTCGACGCTGGCCGCCTTCCAGCCTCCCGAGTCACCCGGGGCAGTGCCCAGCGCCCCCAACGGGACGGGCGGCAACCCGCTGGGGCCGTGCGGAGGGGGCAAGGGCGGCCCCGGGCGGGGGCCCGAGCGGGCCCCAGGCTGCGGGCGAGCGGAGAGTGCGACGCTGCTGCCCAAGCCCCGGGCGGCCGCCCCGCTCCCCGCCGGGTTAGGCCTCGCGCGGCGCCTTGGGCCCGGTCGCCGGGAAGAGGTGGGCAAACTGGCGGTAACGGCCACCGGCAGCACGTTCCCGGGGGGGGAGCCACAGCGGCCCCGCCCCGGGTCTCGCGCCGGTACCTGGAGGCTGCAGCTCCGCCGGGCCGGGCACGGGGGGAGGGGGGGGGGGGTGAATGAAGGTCTCCCCGGCACAGACCCTTCGGCCCCACCTCTGCGCATGCCCCACTCGCCCCCTGCGCATGCCCAGAGCCACACAAAACCCTCCTCCGCGTCCCGGAGAGGCTCCAACGGCCCCGCGCGAGCCGTAGCGGCCCCCCCCTCGCGCCTTCGCAGCCCGGCTCGGCCTCGGGCCCCCCCCTCCGAACGTCACTTCCGCTCCCAGGAAGGTCAGGAACCACCTCTCCCAGCCTGCCCCGGGGGGCCTTTCCGCCCTCCCCGGCACAGGTAAGGGAGGGTTTCCAGCAGCTGTTATTGCGCATGCTCGGTGCGAGCCCTAGTGGGGTTTGCAGCCGGGCCCAGAGCGGGGGTGGAGAACCTGGGGGCCGGGGCCGGGGAGAACAAAGCCCAGAGCCCGGGGGCGGGGCAGCTCCTGGGGGCGGGGCTCGGGCCCGGCCCGGGGGCGGGGCAGCTCCTGGGGGCGGGGCTCGGGCACGGCCCGGGGGCGGGGCAGCTCCTGGGGGCGGGGCTCGGGCCCGGGCCAGACGCTGCTGCTGCCGCCGTGGGCCCCGGGAGCCCGGGCTGGGCAGCGGCTGCTTCCCCCCCCCCCGCGGGGTCTGTGCTGGGGGGCCCGTCATTAACCCCTCCGTGCCCGGCCGGGGGGGGGTTTCTCCAGCCGGGACCAGCCCCCCGGGCTCTGCCCGCCCCCGCCCGCAGCCGGAGCCCCCCGGTGAGTGAGAGACCCCGGGGGGGGGGGGGGGGGAAGCGACTCTCTGCCCCCGGGAACCGGGGAGAAGCCTCGGAGCTGCCTCAGCCCCAGCGGAGCCGCCGCCAGGATCTGCCCCCGGCCCCGCTGGGATGGGGGGGGCAGAGACTGGGGCCCGGCGGGGGGGTCCCCTGGGGGGCGGGGGGTGTCCGGCTGGGGGGGGGGGTTGAACTGTCTCTGTGCAGCCAGGAAATTCCCGGGGGGGAAGTGGGGGGCGGGGGAAGGGGGGAGTTAATTGGATCCTGTCCCTGTTTGTGCCCCTCGCCTCTCAGCCCCGATACAAATTCCCTCCGGCTCGTCCCCTTTTCTCTCTCAGCATCTCCCACGTGGCTGCAAACTCCGGGGCGATCCCCCCCCTTTCCCCTCAAATGATCCGCTCTCTCGTCTCTCCTCATCCCCCCCCCCCCCGTCTCTCCCTAATTCTCAAATGTCCGTTTAAAATCTCCTCCCATGGGGGGTTTCCCACCCATTTTATCTGCAGTGCTTTGTCCTTGTTTAGGTGGGAAATTGTTGCCTGGAGTCATTCCCCAAAACATGGCTGCCCCTGGAGTGGGGATGGAAGGAAGCACGTGTCCCCCATGGGGACTGCCCCAGACCCCGGTTTCCCAATCCTAGTTGCTGCCCCCTAACTGCAAACACAGTTGCCCCCAGCCATCAGTTGCTAGTCACCTGCCCATCCCCCACTGCTGGCCCCTCACCTCACCCAGGGAGCCCTCCAGCTCCCCCTCCCTTGCCCTCTTAAATGAGCTCTTCAAAGGGCTCCCTGCTGCCCATGTGAACGGTGGCAGTGGGGGGACCATCACTTTCTGTTTATGTATTGGACAGTCATATAAAATCCCTTCAAACAGTCCCCCTTTTCCCTTAATTATTTAATAGCAATATAAAATCCCCTCAGATCTTGGTGTTTTTCCTCTCGTGTTCTCAATTGTGTCGTCTGTGGTATGTGTTCTCTGCAAATCTCAAGGATGGATATAAAATACTCTAAACGTTTGCTCCAGTTTTTCTCTAATTGTCTATTTCTAAGTATATGTCCTGAGATTTTTCCCTGTCTCTCTAATTATAAAATACTAAGAACATCTCATATTTACACCTTTTCTCAGATTCCTGTGTATGGATATGAAATGTTTGCAACTGTTGCCCATTTCCGCTCTATTCATATATCAAATATTGATGTAAAATACACTCCGATTTTAGCTCAGATCAACAACTGATATAAAATCCCTCTGAATTTCCACTTTCCTCTCTGTAATTTGCAAAAATGGATCCAAAATCCTTCAGATTTCTTCCCTTTCTCTTTCATTTCTGAACATTGATCTCAAAACTCAGGTTTTCCCTCTCACTATGTCATTATCAAATGTCAATTAAAAAGCCTCTTGAGTTTGGGGCTGTTCCCCATGTTTCTAAATCCCAGCAACAACTTCGTCCTTGGAGGGAACCTGTGGCCCTAAGTCGTTCTTCATCCTGGAGGTTGCAGGGGGTTAAATTGCCAATGATCATCTTCCCCCTCTCCTTTGAGAATCATTTGTTCCCCGCTGTATCTCTGTTAAAATGTTTGCCGATGAAAGAGATCAGCCACATATTTAATACACATCAAATCCAGAGGACTCCCCCTGTTTGGGGGATCAGTGGTTCCCCACTGGTAACAGGAGAGTTGGCTGGACCTTTTTCTTTTCTCCAGCTGGCACAAAATGAGGAGATCACTCTGAGTGCAGCGTGGGTCCAGAAGTATCCCAAACCCCATGACAAATGGTCTCTGTGGGGGTTGCTTCTGACAGTGCTAAGATGTAGCCAACTGTGGGGTGGATTCATGGTGGCCGGGGGGAGAGAGAGCTCGGTGATTTGAGCATTGGCCTGCTAAACCCAGGGTTCTGAGTTCAATTCCTGAGGGGGCCATTTAGGGATCAGGGGCAAAAATTGGGGATTGGCCCTGCTTTGAGCAGGGGGTTGGACTAGATGACCTCCTGAGGTCCCTTCCAACCCTGATATTCTATGATTATTTGCTGGTGGCAGGGCATGGAAATTTCTTACCTGTCTTGGCCCTTCAGGCCTTCCATTCTCCTGTTAAAGAAGCATCCCCAGGGCTCCCTCTGCCTGTGTGACTGGCCAGCAGGGGGTTGTGGTAACTTTCTATCCACTTATTAGACACTATGAGGTAACACTGTTGCTGGGCGGGGGGGGGTCTGTGTGGGGAGTTTGCAGCGGGAGCTGAAGGGGCATTGTGGTAGGGGGAGGCCTTTGGGTGGCTGGGCAGGGGGTACCCTAGTCAGGTTGGTGGGTTCTGGAGGTTTGGGGTTTCGGGGTGTGGTTCTGATGTGCCCAGCCCTGAGGCAATGGGTCCTGGAGGTGTGTATCACCAGGGGCCTGTTGGCTGCAGAACAGTGGGGGTGGGCGTTTCTTTGGGAGTAGGGAAGGGGGTTAGAGGGTACCTGGTACTGTGCCAAGGGCTCTCTCTGGGCTTCCCCCGCTGGCTCCTGGGACCATTGCCATGCCCAGTGCACGGAGCTTGGGGGGCGGGGGGGAATCCCCGGCACTAGGTCAGGGGATCCTATTGGGATCCAGGCAAGCAGACTGAGGGGTCCCATGGTAAACCATCAGGGGGTCCCAGGCAAAATGGCAAGGCAGATCCTGCTGGAGGGCAGGCAGGGTGTTGTAGGCAGACAGTGAGGGACTGAGTTTCCAGTGGGGGGTCCCTGGCTGCTGGGGGCTCTTGGTGCTGGGGAACCTTTTGGGATTCCCAGCCTGGCAGTGATGGTCTGGTGGGGGTTCTCTGGCCGGTGGATCTCTGAGGGGTATCTGAGGTCCCTGGCTAGGGACTCTGGGGGCTAGGTCCCAGGGAATATCTGGTGGGACCCTGGCTGGGGGGTCTGTGCTCCGGGTACTGGGGAGTGTCTGGGGGCCCCTGGCTGGGGGCTGCTCCTGACCTCATTCCTTCTTCCTGATCAGCTTGTGCCAGTATCCAGGGGGTATTCCCCAACCACGCCCAGTCACTGTGATAACTTTCTGTCCACTAATCAAACACAGTGAGGTGAAATCACAGATTTTGCTTTTCTCCCCTCTTGAAAACAGCAAGAACTTCCAGTTCCCTTGGGAAATGTCCTGCCCCCCAGGCCTTATCTCAGGGGTGATAGCAGTGGGCAGGGGGTTAGCAGTGCCACACAATTCTTCTGGACTCATTCTTTCTGATTCTGGTTTCATTGAGACCATTGTTAATCCAGAGTCACTGCATGGAAAGACAAGGAGTGACTCCAGATGGACACTGGGGAAAATGAGATTCTTCCTGTGAGGAGGGGCTCTCATTAGCTGCTCTCCCCAGAGAGCTAAAGGAGGGAAGGCTGCTCAAATGCTCTGTCCCTCTCTACTCAGGATATTGGGGTTCAGTTTCCTGGGTCAGACACTGCAGCCTCCATTGTGATCTGGGAGACCAGGCTTAGCAGCTGCTGCTCCCCCAGCGGGGGTTCTGTGCTGGGAAGTGACCTTTTAATTAAAGCTTCTTCTCTTCCCGGCCCAGGTGATGACTTTCTCCAGCTGGTACTAACCCCATAGGGCAGCCCTGGGCCCTGTTAATACTAAATTCTGAGCCAGAGACTCCAGGTAACTAAAAGAAACCAAGGGAAAATGCTGGAGTCTGGCATTAAAATGACTCTACACAAACAGCCCCCCCATTTCTCCTCCCATTAGCAATTGCAGGAGCAAATCTAGCCATGGTGAGCAAACAACCCAGGAATGGGACTTTCCTACCAGATGGGCAAGGAGAGGGGACAGGGAAAAAGAGATAGGAGAAAGAGAGACTGAAAGGGGCCATGAGAGAGAAGAGTTTCAAGAGAGATTTCCAGATCTCTAATCTGCCCACACAGAGATGTATTACTGCACCCTGGGTAGAGTCACTTTCCTGTGGACAAGATGAGGATCAGACAGAGGAAAACCCAGTTTCTGACTCCATATCCCTCCTGCTGGTGTGTGGCTCCCATAGGGGCAATGTCAGAGGGAATCATCCAAAGTGATTCCTTTGGTTCTGCTTTTTTCTAGCCTTATGTTCAGAGACTTTGTTAAGGGAGGGAGAAGGGAGGGTAAAAATGTCTCTCTGGGCTTAGCCTGGCAGGAGGAGCGAGGTCTGCACTGTAATAAAGAGATCAAGCATTTTTCCAGCATGGCAGACACTAGCATGTCTGTCTGCAGGGAAGGAGTCTGGGGTAATAGTGATGTGAAATGAACTAAAGCCTGTTCTGAAACTTCCACAACTGCCCTTCTCTCCCAGACAGGCTGCAGAATGACGTCCATGTTTCGCTCCAACTCATCCCATCCTCCCATGGCACAGGGAAGAGACATGGCTGTAGTGGAGCCTGCTCAGGTAGGGATTTGGGGTGAGGTTTGGGGGGGTTCCTGCTGGAGGAGATGGACAGCAAATACCCCGGAGATGGGAAGGTTTGCACCGTCTGGTTTGGAGGTTGGAGCGGGGCAGGAAATGCACAGGGTGGAGAAAGAGAGGAGGACAGGGGGTGGCAAAGCTGCTGGGAGTTGTTTAATAAGTGGCCTAGATTCTAGGAACAGACCCATGAGGTTCGGAGGTGGAAATGCCCTGATCTGTGAAACAGAAAATAACTCACCTACATGGGGCTAGGAAAACTGACCAGACTCATAGTGCTGGAGCCCGACCAGACTAATCAGCAGCTGCTGTGAGAGATGAAAGGGGCACCCACCAGTCAGGCTTAGGGAAGCTGTTCCTCACTTCATATCCAACTCCTCAAAATGAGGAGGGTGTTGGGCTTCCTACCAGGGAGCTTTCCCTGGGCCCTGCTAGGGGCTCCATCTCCTGTAGCAGTCGGTGGCTAGTAGGTGTCTGATGGATCTGCTGAGAGAGACAAGCAGCTCTCTCTTCGTCCCCTCACCCTGGTGTTTCCTGGATGCTCTGAGCGGGGTGGGGGTGGGACTCTGTTGACTGCGATCCACCCAGTGCTTCCATTTGGCTCCTCTCCCCCACGAATAATTTAATGATTTAATTGGGGATGGGTCCTGCTTTTGAGCAGGGGGTTGGACTAGATGACCTCCTGAGGTCCCTTCCAACCCTGATAGTCTATGATTCTACGAATAGTGGGGCTGTGAGTGGGGCAGCAGGTACTGAGTGTTGGACTCTTGCTCTTTCAGAGGCCGGTGACCTTCGAGGAGGTGGCTGTGTAGAAGAGTGGGCTCTGCTGGAACCTGCTCAGAGAGCCCTCCACAGAGACGTCATGCAGAAGAACTATGAGAATGTGACCTCGCTGGGTAAGGATTTCTGTGCCTTCGGTTATTAGAAGGGGAAATGAAGAGAGAAGGTTCACGCCACCCCCACAATGCCACCTCTACTCTGCCCTATTTCTGCATCACCTCAACATGCCACTGACACATACAATATCACTCTATCCTCTCCTCCTGCAGAACACTTCGGGAGCACAGCACAGGAGCAGTACCGCACAGTGTCAGATATCTCCTGGTAGCACAAGTAAAACTGGGGGTTAGGTCCAGCATAACCAACAGAAGGTTCCTACCCCTGACCTTCTCTCAAACCCTGAGCCTACTCCACCCAAACCAGAAGGTGCTTGGGGTGTAACAAGCAGGCTGCTGGAGTCAGAGCTGCTGGTCCAGGGGTACTGATAACACAGATTTCAGAGTAGCAGCCGTGTTAGTCTGTATCCACAAAAAGAAAAGGAGGACTTGTGGCACCTTAGAGACTAACAAATTTATTTGAGCTTATCCTCTAAGGTGCCACAAGTCCTCCTTTTCTTATCACACAGACACTCAGTGCATCCTTGAATGCTGGCTGGGAGAATCCAGACAAGAGAGCTCCAGCATCAGAATATTGAATCTCACCCAGGATTACAGATGACACAACTCCTCGCTGATCTGGATAGCCCCCGTGCATGTGAAAATGGCTACGTTGTTAATGAAACTTCTTTAGACTTGGAGAGTCTTGCTCCTCCTCACCATGTGTAATAGCCACAATCTCTCTTCTCTGCAGGCTCTTTGGAGCTTGGGAGTGCGTCATTCCTGAAGTCACATGACCTGATTCTTATTTTTCACATTCTGCCTTAATTAGAGTCTGTTGCTCCTGAATTGTAGCTTCTAATTTTCATACTCCCACCCATTACATTGGACTCACTAGATTCCCTAGTCCATAAATCCGGCCATACTGAGTCAGATCAAAGGTCCATCTAGCCCGGTATCCTGTCTTCTGACAGTGGCCAATGCCAGGTGTCCCAGAGGGAATGAACAGAACAGGCAATCAACAAGTGATCCATCACCTATTCTCCATTCCCAGGTTCTGGCAGTCAGTGGCTAGGAACATCATCCCTGCCCATCCTGGCTAATGGCCATTCATGGACCTATCCTCCATGAATTTGTCTTGTTCTTTTTTTGAACCCTGTTATAGTCTTGGTCTCCACAACTTCCTCTGGCAAAGAGTTCAACAGGTTGACTGTCAGTTGTGTGAAGAAATACTTCCTTTGATTTGTTTTAAATCTGCTGCCTAGTACTTCAGTTCGGTGACTCCCAGTTCTTGTGTTAGGAGCAGGAGTGAATCATAGAATATTAGGGTTGGAAGGGACCTCAGGAGGTCATCTAGTCCAACCCCCTGCTCAAAGCAGGACCAATCCCCAACTACATCATCCCAGCCAGGGCTTTGTCAAGCCTGACCTTAAAAACTTCTAAGGAAGGAGATTCCACCACCTCCCTAGATAACGCATTCCAGTGTTACACCACCCTCCTAGTGAAAAAGTTTTTCCTAATGTCCAACCTAAACCTCCCCCACTGCAACTTGAGACCATGACTCCTTGTTCTGTCATCTGCTACCACTGAGAACAGTCTAGAGCCATCCTCTTTGGAACCCCCTTTCAGGTAGTTGAAAGCAGCTATCAAATCCCCCCTCATTCTTCTCTTCTGCAGACTAAACAATCCCAGTTCCCTCAGCCTCTCCTCATAACTCATGTGTTCCAGTCCCCTAATCATTTTTGTTGCCCTCCGCGGGACTCTTTCCAATTTTTCTACATCCTTCTTGTAGTGTGGGGCCCAAAACTGGACACAGTACTCAGATGAGGCCTCACCAATGTCGAATAGAGGGGAACGATCACATCCCTCCATCTGCTGGCAATGCCCCTACTTATACAAGCCAAAATGCTGTTAGCTTTCTTGGTAACAATGGCACACTGTTGACTCATATCCACCTTCTCATCCACTGTAAGTCCTAAGTCCTTTTCTGCAGAACTGCTGCCGAGCCATTCTTTCCCTAGTCTGTACCACTGCATAGGAATCTTCCGTCCTAAGTGCAGGACGCTGCACTTGTCCTTGTTGAACCTCATCAGATTTCTTTTGGCCCAATCCTTTAATTTGTCTAGGGCCCTCAGGATCCTATCCCTACCTTCCAGTGTTATCTACCTCTCCTCCCAGTTTAGGGTCATCTGCAGACTTGCTGAGGGTGCAATCCACACCATCCTCCAGATTATTTATGAAGATATTGAAAAAAACCGGCCCGAGGACCGACCCTTGGGGCATTCCACTTCATACCGGCTGCCAACTAGACATGGAGCCCTTGATTATTACCCGTTGAGCCTGACAATCTAGCCTGCTTTCTATCCACCTTATCGTCCATTCATCCAGCCCATACTTCTTTAACTTCCTGGCAAGAATACTGTGGGAGACCATGTCAAAAGCTTTGCTAAAGTCAAGGAACAACACGTCCACCGCTTTCCCCTCATCCACAGAGCCAGTTATCTCGTCATAGAAGGCAATTAGATTAGTCAGGCATGACTTGCCCTTGGTGAATCCATGGTGACTTCCTGATCTCTTTCCTCTCCTCTAAGTGCTTCAGAATGGATTCCTTGAGGACCTGCTCCATGATTTTTCCAGGGACTCAGCTGAGACTAAGTGGCCTGAAGTTCCCCGGATCCTCCTCCTTCCCTTTTTTAAAGATGGGCACTACATTAGCCTTTTTCCAGTCATCTGGGACCTCCCCCGATCGCCATGAGTTTTCAAAGATAATGGCCAATGGCTCTGCAATCACATCCACCAACTCCTTTAGCACCCTCGGATGCAGTGCATCCGGCCCCATGGACTTGTGCTCGTTCAGCTTTTCTAAATAGTCCCAAACAACTTCTTTCTTCTCAGAGGGCTGGTCACCTCCTCCCCATGCTGTGCTGCCCAGTGCAGCAGTCTGGGAGCTGACCTTGTTCGTGAAGACAGAGACAAAGCATTGAGTACATTAGCTTTTTCCACATTCTCTGTCACTAGGTTGTTTCCCTCCTTCAGTAAGGGGCCCACACTTTTCTTGACTTTCTTCTTTTTGCTAACATACCTGAAGAAACCCTTCTTGTTACTCTTAACATCTCTTGCTAGCTGTAATTCCAGGTGTGATTTGGTCTTCCTGATTTCATTTCTGCATGCTCGAGCAATATTTTTATACTCTTCTCTGGTCATTTGTCCAATCTTCCACTTCTTGTAAGCTTCTTTTTTGTGTTCAAGATCAGCAAGGATTTCACTGTTAGGCCAAGCTGGTCGCCAGCCATATTTACTATTCTTTCTACACATCGGGATGGTTTGTCCCTGTAACCTCAATAAGGATTCTTTAAAATACAGCCAGCTCTCCTGGACTCCTTTCCCCCTCATGTTGTTCTCCCAGGGGATCCTGCCCATCAGTTCCCTGAGGTTGTCAAAGTCTGCTTTTCTGAAGTCCAGGGTCCGTATTCTGCTCTCCTTTCTTCCCTGTGTCAGGATCCTGAACTCGACCATCTCATGGTCACTGCCTCCCAGATTCCCATCCACTTTAGCTTCCCCTACTAATTCTTCCCGATTTGTGAGCACTAGGTCAAGAAGAGCTCTGCCCCTAGTTGGTTCCTCCAGCACTTGCACCAGGAAATTGTCCCCTACACTTTCCAAAAACTTCCTGGATTGTCTGTGCACCGCTGTATTGCTCTCCCAGCAGATATCAGGGTGATTGAAGTCTCCCATGAGAACCAGGGCCTGCAATCTAGTAACTTCCGTGAGTTGCTGGAAGAAAGCCTCGTCCACCTCATCCCCCTGATCCGGTGGTCTATAGCAGACTCCCACCACGACATCACCCTTGTTCCTCACACTTCTAAACTTAATCCAGAGACTCTCAGGTTTTTCTGCAGTTTCATACGTGAGTTTTGAGCAGTCACACTGCTCTCTTACATACAATGCAACTCCCCCACCTTTTCAGCCTTGCCTGTCCTTCTTGAACAGTTTATATCTATCCATGACAGTACTCCAGTCATGTGAGTTATCCCACCAAGTCTCTGTTATTCCAATCACATCATAATTCCTTGACTGTGCCAGGACTTCCAGTTCTCCCTGCTTGTTTCCCAGGCTTCTTGCATTTGTGTATAGGCACTTGAAATAACTCGCTGATCGTCCCTCTTTCTCAGTATGAGGTAGGAGCCCTCCCCTTTTGGGCTCTCCTGCTCGTGCTTCCTGCTGGTATCCCACATCCCCACTTACCTCAGGGCTTTGGTCTCCTTCCCCCGGTGAACCTAGTTTAAAGCCGTCCTCACTTGGTTAACCAGCCTGCTTGCGAAGATGCTCTTCCCTCTCTTCATTAGGTGGAGCCCATCTCTGCCTAGCACTCCTCCTTCTTGGAACACCATCCCATGGTCAAAGAATCCAAAGCCTTCTCTCCGACACCACCTGCGTAGCCATTCATTGACTTTCACGATTTTACGGTCTCTACCCAGGCCTTTTCCTTCTACGGGGAGGATGGACGAGAAGACCACTTGCACCTCAAACTCCTTTATCCTTCTTCCCAGAGCCACGTAGTCCACAGTGATCCGCTCAAGGTCATTCTTGGCAGTATCGTTTGTGCCCACGTGGAGAAGCAGGAAGGGGTAGCGACCCGAGGGCTTGATGAGTCTTGGCAGTCTCTCCGTCACATCATGAATCTTAGCTCCTGGCAAGCAGCAGACTGTTAGGGGGCTTATTCCTTCACCCACTTACTTCCCTGGTCCTTCTCGCATGAACAGAGAGCAACAATACCCGAAGTCCAAAGGTGCAAACAATTCGATGTTTATTGGGGTGAACTTCCAGCAAGCATGATTCCAGTTTCCTTCCTTAGTATCCTCCTTCCCAGCTCTGACACCACAGAGCCTTACACCTGTGTCCCTGTTCCCATTCCTGCCCTTAGCCAAACATGATTCCAACTTCCTTACTCCCATTCCCTGTTCCCATTTCCCCCTTTAGCAAAACATGATTCCAATTTTCTTACCCCCATTCCCTGTTCC